TTTTACATTTTCACATAAATCTAAAGTTTTGTCTCTGGGGCTCAGAAATACCTTGCTGGCGTCAGACTCGACTCTGATCTTAAAATGCTCCAGCACCGTTGTGAATTTCTTTTGTTTAGAGTCTACCATTAGCAGAAACTCAAGACAAACAGAGCCTCTTGTGCTCATTAAGGAATGGAAGAGCAGCCGTTACACTGACCCGCTCTCACCCGGAACTCATTAATAACCACTGATGCTTCCGTAAGCCGGAGCTGCTGCTCTTCTTATCTGACAACTCGCCATATTTAAGACTTAGAAGACTGGCCACGGGAAAGTTAATTATCTCTGAAGGAAAGGAAAAGACCAGGAGAATCTGGATACTAATTGGATATATCTGTATATAACTGAAATCAAAATATTCCTTGAAATTATCCCATTAAATAGTGCAACAGTCTGTGTAAATGTTAATAGTGGTGCATGTGGACAGTTCTTGTGACAAAGGACGCACATTTTTATCATTACATTCAAACATTCAAAAATATGACTTTTTTTTTTAATTGCAGACACCAGTATATTTCAATTAGAATGTTATGCAGAATTATGAAGAATTCTTCCTTCTGTCTTCTGTACTGATATTGATCCGTTCAAGGCAGACTGAGAAAATTTGCTAAATTGGCTGGGAAAATATCTATACAGAAACACTCTGGGCAAAGTGTGATATGTCAACTGACAATAAACAAATTGATTTAAAAACTGATATTCAGCAGGATGGTTTTCCTACAGTGCTATAAATATGATCCATTATTGTGTTCTAGAAAAAAAAATCACTGCATTTATAATAAAGCATTGCTATTAAAAAAACATCTAATTTTAACCAAAACATTTTTTTTTGTCAAATACCTTTTTCAATTGGAAATACATCTGCACTCATAAAGAAAACTTGCATTTGAGTAATTTGGCTTTTGACTCAAAACCTTAGTTACTGAAAAATAACCCTTGTGACAATTTCCCTGTGGCACAATATCTGACATATCAGTGAAGCTTCTTGTTCTGAATCTAAAAAGAGATAGAGAGGGAGAGAGAGAATCAGAGAAATCAGTCTTTATCTTTGTGAGCTCTTTGACGTAAAGACAGCACTCATATTATTTACTGTTATTACTGCTGACAGTAGCTTCTTCTTTAAAAATCTTTGAGTCAGTTTCAGTGGTTTTAAAGGAAAGTGTCTTGCTTTAACAAGCCCAGATCAATAATCTATTTATCCTTGAGTGATGGGAGGAGCTGCTCATTTTTCCATGTGTAGTGGAATGGAAAATGTATTTTGATTTGTGACACAAGTGTGTGTGACACACACACACACACACACACGCTCAACAGAAAAACAGCTTTAGAGTGTAAATACGCTGTTACTGCCTTGATAAATCAGAATGATGTATGTACAATATCATTTATGCCTTCACAAGACATACAAGCAAATGACTCCCTTCTAGAATACATTACTTCGGCTGACTGTCTCACTTAGGTACGATCTAAAGAGCTTTTCTGTTTGGAGAAAGTGTTGAGAATTTTCAATGTGCATCTACATCCTCCCAAGGCCTCAGTAAATCAGACTGTCAACACAAATCAAATTAGGCAGGTATAGACTACAGCGATATGCCAGGCAGGTGGCTGGTCATCGATCTCCTTTGATGGGTAAATTACATTTGACATCCCCCCAAGCTATAAATAGATACACACACATACAACAAGGTGTTTGATCTTGACAAAAGAAATATTGTAGCAATTTGACGACAGACAGTAAACCATGCTTTTTCTGTTTGACTCAAAGGTTTGGGGCATTGCTGTGTTTGCTTTGTTGTGTAACCAGAAACCATAATTTGCTGTGCTGTGTGCAAAGAGGGGGGATGCAACTGAACTCGCAGATGTTCACTTGCATTTGAAATAGTCCATGTATGTGTATATGTGAGTGTGGCCTTCATTAATACTGTACCGTTGAAACTTAGTGCTGTATTTGCATTGGATAAAAGATTCTACATCTGCTGTGTTGTGTAGGCTATTACATTTAGGAGAGAGTGGGGTAAGTTGAGCCAGTGGGTAAGCTGACCCCTCCCCCTGTATCTTGCCAACTGTACACTTTTATTGTCATGTGACCAGATATTTTGAAACCACCCAATTACTTTAAAAACGGTTTTTGGCTTGTCAAAGTACAATTTTAGCATAACATATGTAATGGCTGTTACATCAAAGTAAATTTATCCAGGTCTAAAAATATTTATGATGCATATAAGTGATTTAGCAATGTATAAAACCATGTAAATCATTTAGCTAAATATTAGCCTGAATTAGTAAGCAAGCTAGTTTTTTTTTCCAAAATGGCAGCTATGGGGCAAAGTAAGCCAAATGCTGTGGGGTAAATTGAGTCAGCATTTTAACTTACCCCACCATAAGGCACTGTAGTTAAGTTAAATCTCTGAATTATAAACTG